GTGGCGGGCTCAGGCAGCTGATCCATCTTCAGAATGCCTGGGTCAAGTTTCTCTCCCCCTGGCATTTCCCCAGCCTGTTAAGAGAAGGGCAGGGCCTCTGGGCTCTGCAGCTCTTAAAAGAGAGATTGTCCAGGGGCCTGTCTAGGACAGAAGCAGGACTTAGGTGGTCTGTGCCCCAGGAGGGCTAGGGTGACTCCTGGCCACCTAGGGTCAGCAGCTGAGAAATCTTTAGGTGTTATTGTCCTCTGGGCAGCTCTCAGAGGTATAAGGAAAAAGAGAGCCGTGGTCATAAAGCTCAGCCTCCTCTGGGCTCCCATAGCCTTTTGCTTTCGTGCATTAATTTATTCATTCATTCATTTATTCTCTTATTCATGTCATACCCGCTTTGGATCAGGCCTGTCGCTGGATGATAAGGACAAAGAAAAGAGTCAGATGGCCCCAGCCCTCTGGGAGCACCTGAAATGTGTGTTGGGGTAGAGGTCGAAAGGATAAATTACTAACAGTATGTGAGGAATGCCTGGGAGGGTATTAGGGAGAGAGCTTCAGAGAAATGGTGACATTTGAAAAGAGCCTTGAGGGATTGGCGGGATGGAGTGCAGGGTGGGTGGGTTCTGGAAAGGCTTTCCAGGCAGAAAAAAATAGCATGAACAAAGAAAGGCAGGGAAGCCTGGCAGGGCACTTACATGGCTCACATCTCTCTCCAGACTAGGAGCTCTTCAGGCAGAGCCAGCCAGAACTGGGCACCAAGGGGCTGCTAAGTGGTTTTGGACAAAGTTAGGCAGGAGCTGGTCTCAGAGAGCAGGGAGTGAGGCCCTAAGGGCATCGGAGGTCAGAAGAGGCAGAGTGAGGGTTGGGGACTTGGCTGTCTCCATAAGCAGGAGCTGAGGAGCCAGGAAAGATGTATTCACAGGTTGGTGAGCCAATCTCTGTAGGGAGAGAATGGGCAGGGTCAGTCTGGATGGGGGCCATGGCGATGGAATCCCCAGCTTGCCTGGTAGGGTGGAGGCCAGGATGTTTTAAAACAGGTGGAAAGGGCAGCCCTCTCTGTTCACTGTTCCCTGGAGGCTTAGGGAAGTCTCCACCCCTCTCATTAGTGTCAGAGATTCCACTGTTAGTGATTAGCGAGAGCATAGTGCAGAGCAATAGGATGTTGACTAAGAGACGATGAGGGCCCTGGCCCCCACTTTGAGGAGAGACCCGCCAGGCCTTAGCACTGGGGCAGGAGCGGAAGCAGCATCTCCCAGGTGGGACTAGGTGTCTGTCCGGAGTGTAGAGGGGGCCACTCTCACCTCTCCAGTGAAGAAGAGGACTTCATGAGGGAAGTTTTAGGACCACTGTTCTCCAAGGCCAGGGAATTCAGCCCATGAGAGGTCTGAGTCTCAGAAGGGCAGGAAATACCTGATGTCACTGGCTTTCTGTGGCAGAGCTAGATACCCCAAGCTGGTGTCCCAGGCTGGGGGGCAGAGGATGTGGCCTTGTACAGGTCCTCAATCTCAAATTCAGGCCTCCATACTCCTTCTGCAGCTACTGTGAGCCAGCAACTCCCAGCTGACCTCCCAAAGTGTCCCAGCCCCATCCCCGCGTCCACCATACCCCTTCGAAGCACCCCACACGTACCATGTCTGACACCAAATTCTTCCTGTCCCCACTGCTGTTCCTCCCAGACCCCTCCTTGGCCACCTCCTTCTCCTGCCCTCTTTCGCCCAGACCTTCTCTGGGCCAGTCTCTCCAGCCTCCCTCCCTAACAGCTCTCAGATCTCTCCCCTCAGAGGCCCCCAGGCCCGGTCCCAGCTTGGGCCTCAGCATCATCACTCCCTTTGCTCACCACAGTCACCTGCTCCATAGCCTCCAGTTCAAGACCTGTCACCCTCCACCAGTGACCTGAGAGAGCATCCCAAAGATTTCAGGAAAAGGCCACATCTGAGCTGAACCTTGAAGCTCATAACACCATAGTGTACCTACTGTGTGCCAGGAACTGCTCCAAACATTTTACACAGATCACTCACTGAATCCTCACGGGAATCCTGTGATACAGGTTCCATTAATCGCCTCATTTCACAGATGAGGAAACACAGGTGATCTGGCTCCAGAGGCCAGGCTCTTCGTAATCACCGGAGTCTGCTACACTGAAGGATGAAGAGTTATAATTTCAACAGGTAGATATGAGGGGCGTGAATGGATTCCAGGTTGAAGGAGCAATACGAACTAAGGTTGGGAAGAGAGAAGCATTGAGCACATTGAGGAAACTGCAGGTCACAGAGGATGGTTGGGGCTGGCAAAGCTGGCAGAGGCTGGATTGTGAAAACCTCCAATACCAGACTAGTCTTTCTCCTCCTAGCAAGCAGGAGCCATGGACTGTTTCAAGCAGGAGAATGACTGTTTCTTTTACAAAGACCCGTCTGGATTGCGGGAGATTGAGGCTGGAGGCGGAGAGGATAATGGCAGTGTCTCCAGCAGCAAGGGTGGAGCTGACACTGGGTTGCCTATAGCAGGGGTGGGATGCAGGGAATGCTTTAATGCCAGGTCCTGAATCCTGGCCCTGGGCAAGAAGGATTCCAGCAAGTTGGCCCTGACAGAGCTCCTCCATACCTGCCCCCTCTCAACTTGGCACCACATAGGCTTCTCTCTGTTTTTTCACCCTGGGTCTGCCCTGGCTCCTTGAGAAGGAACCTGCGTCCATGTGAGGGAAGTCACAAGTATAGGTGCCCTTCCTCCTAGTTGCACCTTTGCTGACAACAAGAAACAGGGATCTAGGGTAGGGTGGCAGGGTATTGGGAAAGAAGGAAAACTGAAGGACCTATGTGTCCCTCAGTCCAGCCCCCCTCACTCCAATCTCAACTTCAGGGGCCTTGAACTCCTGCTGGGAGACCATGCTGGGCAAGAAGCTTAGGGTCTAAAGGAGTGGATGTCGCTGGCCCTACAGAATTCCCGAGTCTCAGCCTCTCAGGACCCCAGGTTCCAAAATGAGCAGAATTGTACAGCCCCAGATTCTCAGGGTAAGGAGGACTCAGATGTCATCTGCCCTTTCTGTCCTCCCAGATACTCACACAGGGTGTGCACGAGCCTTTCTGCAGACTCTGCTTGCATACCCCCATATGCAGATTGTTTACTACCTTCCTCTTACAGCATCTTCCCTGGGACATACCCTCGGATAGGAATTGTAGCCTGTCCCCAGCTGTGTGACCTTGGCTAAATTACTTGACCGATCTGTGTCTCAGCCTCTTAATCGTAAAACCAGGCATGATAACCTGACTCCCAGAAGTTATAAGGATGGAATAAAATAACATTTATAAAGCACACATAGTTGTAGGGTTTGAAAAACGTCAGCTCCCTCTGCCCCTTCATACTATTTGAAAGTTATTCTTTGTGCTTTTCCCAAACCTACCCACCTAGGATTCCTGCTAGGATTTTCAGCCTGCCTTCTGAGACCTTTGGGATCTTTGCCCTCCAGACTGAGATATCTGTCCCCTGCCTCCCAGCTGAGAGACAGCTTTTAATGGTGACATTGGTGGGGGTCGGGAGAGGAGGAAGGTGGACAACTTGTTCTCTAAGTTGCCGGGCAGTCAGTCCCTGTGGTGTATTATATGCCCACTAGGGACAAGTTAGGAAACTCTCAAGATAGTGATGGTGTGGAAGAGAAGCTGGGTAGGCCTGGAGGAAGCTTAAGTTGTCCCACAAAAGAAATTCTCAGCTCTCTCTACTCCCACCTCCACCCCAGACTTCCCTAGAATCTTCAGGAGGGTCACAGTCCCATCTGATAGCCTCACAGGCCAAGGAGAAGGACTGCTGTTGTCGGATGCAGAAAGTGCCAGAATATAGAAGTATTGAAAAAGTATTTGCTGAGCTAGTGAATGAGTGACTAAAGAGGGAAACCCTTAGAAATACTCCCTCAAATACCAAAATACCAGGCCCAGGGCCAGAACCTCCCCAGGGAGAGGAAGGATGAGCTAAAGGAAAGTTCTAATGCCTCCAGGAAGGTATGGATCATCCATTGGCCAGGAACGCTTCAAAAGGCTGTGGTCACTGGGTGAGAAGTGGAACCAGTCAGCCTTGAAGGCCCCTGCCTATGAATCTAAAATGATACCTTCTGGGATGCTCAGATTCTAAAGCTCAGAATTCCAGATCTAGAACTCGGTGCTCCTGTGGTTCTAGAGCAGGGTCGCCAAACTTTGTTTTTTTTTAAAGGCAAGATAGTAAGTATTTTAGATTTTGCAGAACATATGGTTTTTGTCACAACTATTCAGCCCTTTGTAAACGGATGGATATGACTATGTTCCAATAAAGCTTTATTTATATAAACAGACTGGTGGGCTGGATTTGGCCTTCAAGTTGTAGTTTGCCTATCCCTGTTCTAAAGTTTTAGAATTATATGATCCTGATATTTATGAATCATATGCATTTTCGAGGTTCCAAGCTTCTGAACTCTGAGTCCAGGGAGCCAGGTCAGATGGCAACAAAGGCCTTGAATGTAGTTGGCCAGATATTAACCAAAGAAATCTGAGCACTTGGAGTTCCTCAAGGCCCTGGTCAGGTGGCTATGTCAGGCCACCCTGCTGAGCCCAGGTCATGACGCTGACGACTGTTCTCCCCACCCCACCTCCTTCCCTTCAGGATGATGGCCGCAGGCCTGGGCCTCTGGAATGACACCATCAATGGCACCTGGGATGGGGATGAACTGGGCTACAAGTGCCGTTTCAACGAGGAGTTCAAGTACGTGCTGCTGCCTGTGTCCTATGGTGTGGTATGCGTGCTCGGGCTGTGTCTAAACGTTGCAGTGCTCTATATCTTCCTGTGCCGCCTCAAGACATGGAATGCCTCCACTACGTACATGTTCCACTTGGCCGTGTCAGATGCACTATATGCGGCCTCCCTGCCACTGCTGGTCTATTACTACGCCCGCCGTGACCACTGGCCCTTCAGCACGTTGCTCTGCAAGCTGGTGCGTTTCCTCTTCTACACCAACCTTTATTGTAGCATCCTCTTCCTCACGTGCATCAGTGTGCACCGGTGCCTGGGTGTCTTGCGCCCACTGCGCTCGCTGCACTGGGGCCGGGCCCGCTATGCCCGCCGCGTGGCAGCTGCCGTGTGGGTGTTGGTGCTGGCCTGCCAGGCACCCGTGCTCTACTTTGTCACCACCAGTGTGCGTGGCAGCCGCATTACCTGCCATGACACCTCAGCGCCCGAGCTCTTCAGCCACTTCCTGGCCTACATCTCCGTCATGCTGGGCCTGCTCTTCGCGGTGCCCTTTGCCACCATCTTGGGCTGCTATGTGCTCATGGCCCGGCGGCTGCTAAAGCCAGCCTATGGGACTGCAGGGGGTCTGCCGCGGGCCAAGCGCAAGTCGGTGCGCACCATTGCTGTGGTGCTGGCCGTCTTCGCCCTCTGTTTCCTGCCTTTCCACGTCACCCGCACCCTCTACTACTCCTTCCGCTCACTGGACCTCAGCTGCCACACCCTTAATGCCATCAACATGGCCTACAAGATCACCAGACCGCTGGCCAGCGCCAACAGTTGCCTTGACCCTGTGCTCTACTTCCTGGCTGGGCAGAGGCTTGTGCGCTTTGCCCGGGACTCCAAGCCACCCACAAATCCCATGCCTACTGCCCAGGCTAGCCGCAGGCTGGACCTGCGCAGGTTTCACAGAACTGACACCAAGACAGAAGATGAGTCAGCCAGTAGCGAGGACTCCAGGCAGACAGAATCCACACCGACTGGTGGCAGGAACACTAAGGACATCCGGCTATAGAACCTGAACCCCTCTGTCCTATGCAAGTTTATATCGGGGGAACCGTAGGGACTATGACTTGTTCAAGTGGGACGGTCTCCCCAGATATGGACCAATGTGACTCATGCGGGATGGTCAAGGCAGCCATGACCCCAACGCTCTGTCATTTGACAGGGGCTCAGGACACTCTCTGTGGTCCAGAGAACTCAGCGGTCCCTACAGCCCCATCGCCATTGGGATAAAGTTTCAAGAAAGGCAAGGGTTCAGAGCCAATGCTGCCACTGGCCTGACTCACCCACGTAAATAGCTGGCTGTGTCTGCCAAGGTACCTAGACTGGAGCCCTACCTAACCAAGTCAAATGGAGAAACAGGCCCAGAGAGAGAAGAGACATACCAAGGTCACAGAGCAGAGTCTGGGCCTCAGCTACATGGGAGGGGTGGGCTTGCAGGCTGACCAGAGGATCCTGGTAAGCAGTCAGGGCTAAGCCAGAGTTTTCCACAGAGGGTCTGGGGGCATATCTGGGTGCCACAGTGGACTCAGCAATGAGAAGTATCCCCAGCCTAAGAAAAACATCTGGAAACTGATGTCGTAAACTTATCTGGAGTCTCCCCTGGGCTGGGAGCCAGTTTGAGGTTGTAACTTATACTAAAAGTGTTGTTGTCTGTTGAGCTGTGCCCTATTTTGTGGTTAGAGATAGCTGTCACCAACCACACCAGGGTCCTTTCTTCAGCCTGCTCTCATCTGCCACCTGCCTTTCCACTAGCTGCCTCAGCAGTGGTCTCACATCAGGTATCCCCTCTCCAGACCCCAGGTCATCCCCCACTTTAAAGCTAACTGGCTTTTGTGGCTGGTTCTGTTGGGCACAGAAAGGAGTCAGGTGGGGTCCCAGTCCTTGAGATCCCCCAGTTTATGACTTAAGGGTGATAACCAGTCAATTGCTGACAAACCTTAAACCATTTAACTGGCCTGCTGGGGCGGGGGAAGGTATGAGGGAGACATCTTATTTGTAACATTGCCAATTGCTGTCTTACAAATACTCCTGCCATAGCCAGTTTCAGACTACCAACCTTCTTGCAAAATTCTTCAAATTTAACAACCAGCTCTTGCCAGCAGGTACAAGTTGTTCTAGCACACCACTGGATAATGCTGAGTCATTAAGGTTGTGGACCAGGGGGACAGGGAAGGCTTCTTGGGGTGGGAGGACTCCTGAGCTGTAGCTTCTGAGAAAAGCGGTTCATCAGAGAAGAACGTCCAGGTGCAGGGTGCATCCTGGGCAAAGACATGGGGGCAGGAGAGCAGGGTGTGCAGGAACTAGAAGCAGGCTGGGCAAGTGGTGCCCAGGCTCAAGGCAGGAATGGGGCTGAGGCTGGGTCACAAGAAGGCCAAGTCAGGGCTCCTTCCTTCCCCTAATCATGAGGTTTCCTTTGCACTGAGTGGTATGGGAGAGACTCACTCTTCTCCCACCCAGTCCTCTGCCTCCTGGGAAAATGCAGCTACATGGTTAATGCCCATGGTTAATGGGTCAGGGCTTGGTGTGAGGGAGATGGGTCTCATCTGTGACAGGTTCTGAGTCCAGCCAGGACCACTCTGGAGGTTTGTGGAGCTGAGATTGGCAGGGTCCACTAGCCATTGGGCAGAGATAGGACAAAGCTGACAGGCCCCACTCTTAACCTCAAGGATAAGGACGCACTCCCTCTCCCTCTGGAAGAGCCCTTGCCCTATGGGCCCACTCGGCCTGAAAGAAGGTTCTTTCCTCACTACACTTCCACTGCTCCCTGTAACTTCTCCACCCTTCCCACTCTACCGTAGCAAAATGGGGCACCTCCAGGGGTTGCTCTATTTAGAGTCTGACTCCACAGTTCCCTCACGTGACAGGAACCCATCACAAGCTATCACAAATACAAATGATTATTCTACATTGTGCAATGTGGGTGACCTGCCCAAAGTGGTGTTTAATGCTTACCTCTCACATTCTAGGTTCTATACTTCTGTTAATGTAACCAGAGTCCCTATGAGCTTGTTTTGTAACTACCTCTTACAGACTGTCCTTGAGCCTTTCCTGTAGGCTAGAGCCTGTCTCCTTTCTACTAGCTGCTGCTCAGGCTGAACCCCACCCCAGTTTATAGAGACACCCTACCCAGATAGGATGCTGTGCTGGCCAGGAGTGTGAATGCTGGGCTCCGACTCCCTCAGCTCTGCTTCGACCCAGAGGCAGGGGTTATACATTATGACTTTGGGGACTCTTGAGTGTGCATCGGTGGTTTGGGGTGGAGCTGTGACCACTACAGGCCCAAGTTCACCTAGTTCCCATTCCTTTCACATCCTGTCTACCTGCCCCTCCAGCAGCTGCCCTGGAGACCCTGAAAACCCAGGGCTCCATGGCACGTGGAGACAACACTGTGGTCTGGCCCTAGGAAGCCTCCCTTAAACCAGCTGCCTACAGATTTCTAAGGACTCAGGACCTAGGGGATGGAGTGGGGTGAGGTGAGGGGACTGACTGACCATCTAATCCTGTGGCATGCACTGATAGGGATGGGGAATGGGGACCCTAAGGGAATCAGGGCCAGGCCCAGGATCCCACCTCTGCACCCCAGTTGGACTGCCCGGCGCTTCGTTCTAAAGATCTGGCCCCATGTAGCTCAGTGCCCAAGCCACCCTCCTGGTGTGTGAGTTTCCTGACGCTGCTGCCTTGTGCTATTTTCAGCCCAAGTAAGAGCAGGATTTTCCACTCCCGGCCACAGACCATTGTCCAGCAGTGACGTGGGGGACCTGCCTACTCTCAAAATATCTCCTTACTCTCTGGGCCTCCCTGCCCCTCCCCACCCCCTCACCCTGACATAACTTCCTGGGGCTGATGACTCCTGAAGGCCACTGTGAAAAGGCACAGCCACCTGACAGGGACCCCAGGGATTGTTCGGCACAGCTGCAGACTCAAGGCTGAAGAGGGGCGGGGCCTCGCCCAAGGTCAATCAGGGGGTCAGCCTGGCGCCTGGACATATGCCAGGGGCTCAGGCTGCTCCTTTTAGTGCAGGTCAGTGCCTTTGTGGGAATCCTGCCATCACCCTCACCACCCAAGTTCTTCCCACCCCAGATAGACAGAGCCACAGAACTGAAGCCAAAGACACAAGGCAGAAAGGTGTGGGAGCAGGGTGAAGAGAGTTAATGCCTGCTGACTTGCCTACAGCAGCTGTTGTCGATAAGCTCCATGAAACCAGGGCAGAGGGCTTGGCACCATCTCTCTGCCCTGGGTGACAGGTATCCCACAGCCCAGGAGGGAGCGGGGAACATCAGAGGACATTCCCACTCTCACCTTCCAAGGCTAGAAAAGGCCCTGAATGACATGCTCCCCAGACATAGTTCCAGGTCAGGCTACCACCGTTGTCACGGCAGATTTGGGCTGATTTGTTTAGAGTCAGGCGAATGAGGAGGGAAACTCCTGTACTAACCCATGCCCAGGCACCAGCCAGACCCTCTCAAAAACAGTATATCATTTAGTCTTCACTGCAACTGTGTGAAATAGACATTCTTCTCCCCCTTCAGTAGACGAGGGGACAGGCTCTGAGAAGTGACAGCTTGTTCCAGGTTACATAGGCAGTAAGAGGGTGAGTCGAGATTGAGTCCAGGTCCATGTGATGCCCAGATTAGTTCCCTTTCTAATATCCTGTGCCACTTGCAACCCCTGTGGCAGGAGAGTTTATAAGTAACCCTTCATGTGGTTGAGATGAGAGAGGCTATATAACAAGGATGGTGTTAAGAGTACAGATTCTACACCCAGACCAGCTGGGTTTGAGTGTGGTCTCCACTTTTTCCAGCCATGGTATCTTGGGCAAAATACTTAATCTTACAGTGCCTCAATTTTCTTATTGTTAAAAGGAGGCACTACCTCCCATGTAGGGCATTGGGAGTTTTACCTGAGTTAACACACAGGAAGCACTTAGAACAGTGCCTGGCATGTGATAAGCAGTTACACACTGGGCACTGAACCAAGGGGATATGGAGGTGAACCAGCCAGATCCTACCCTCATGGAGTTGACATAATTTAATATGGAACCACATGAGGATAAGCGACTTGAGGAAAGGACAGTGTGTCCAGCCAGTGAGCACCATAGGTCCCCTGTGGCCAAGGTTTCCCCTGGGTAGAGGAGGAAGGGAGCAGGCCCATCCTGGGGTAAGGTGTGGGAGCACCCTCTGCCCGGCCTGGCACCGAAGGGCTTTCAGGCACACAGGCTTCTGTGTCTACAGAACCTTATCCAAGTGTCTGGCTGTGGGGAAGGCATCAGGGAGAAGGGACAGTGGGAGGAGAAGGAGAAAGACATCTTTGATAGCAAGCTTCTGGAGCCAGCTCCTGTGGGATAGAGAGTTCCCACCCACCCATGGCAGCAGGTTTAGTCATTTCTCCTTCACAAGAGGTACATGCCATGGGGTACTGCAGCCACTCACTGCATGGTTCAGCCAAGAGCCTGGAGACCCAGGGTGGAAATACTGGACTGGAGCTGGGCCGAAGTAGGCAATGAATAGGCAGCATTTGCTGTGTGACCTGAGGCCATCTGCTGGCCCTCTCTGGGCCACTCTGGAGAACTTGCCTCTCATGTTCCAGTTCTTCCTACCTCAATTAGGGCACCAACTGTCTAGATCTTCATGAAGGAGCTACTAATTGCTGCTCCCCCGGGCACTCCCCAAATCCCCTGGGCTCATCGTTCTGAGGACTAGAGTGAGGGCAGTGGGTCTCCATGCATCAAATGACCTGAGAGGTGAATTGACTTAATTGTCACCAGACAGTGCCTTGGATGAAGCCAGTCCTGTATCTTATGGGGTGGAGGGTAGAGCTTGGCCTGAAGTGGCTGGGCTGCAGGGTGAGGAATCTGCTTGCCTTCCTAAGGGATATGTGCTTGTGGGGGGTGAAGGATGGAGTGAAAGGAGCCCCAGAAGCCAAACTCTCATCCTCCTCTGTCCTGATGCACCACATAACATGTAACTTGGTGAATCCTTTCTATCTGGGCCTCTGTTTCTGCATCTGCAATGGGACTCAGCATGGCTCAGCTATTCTTCCTCTAGTAGGGGCTTCCTGGACTTGCCTCTGCCTTGGCTCTAGCTTAGCCAGGTGTTCAGACTCAGCCCTGTCCCAGCCAGAAACAATGGGCCAGGCTGGGCAAGCCACTCATCAGCCCGAAACCCAATCCCCAGGGGCACCACCCTGGACTATTTTCAGCCCTTAGAGATGGAGTCAGAAAAGGATTTTCCACTCCCAGCACAATGACTGCACTGGACCATTGTCTAGCATGATCAGGGGATACGCCTGCCCCAAAATATCTCCCCTTCCCCTACCCTCTGGGCCTTCCTGCCCTGATCCTCACCTCTCTACCTTGACATTGCTTCCTAGATCTAACTCCTGAAAGCCACTATAAAACAGCACTTGAGTCCCCTGGGAGACATGACCAGTTTGAATCAGTTTTCTCTCCTGGCAGGGACCCCAAGGATTGTTTGGCTGCTCAGAGGGACTGAAGGCCCAGAGAGGGTCGTGCCTTGCCAAAGATCACACAGCAGTCAGCATGGAGACTAGATGTGAGACCAGGGTTCTCTAGTTGCTCCTACTACCTTGGCTGTCTTCGTTAGCACAAGTCTGTGCCTCAGGGGAGTGATAGCTTACCTTCAAGGCCCAGGTTGGGCATCCTGGCAAGAAGCCTGAGTGCTGTGGGTAGGAGGGGCATAACTTGGGTCTGACTTCGGAGCTCAGTCCTATTTTTTACCAAATGTGGTTTTAGCTTGCACTGAACTCAGAGTTACCAAGTAGCAGCTCTGGGAAAAGACAGCGGTTGGGAGGACGCAGGGAAGCTGAGGAAGGAGGGACAGAGTTCTGGCCCAGTTCAGCCATCTCCAGCTCTGTGACCATAAGCTCAGTTTCTTCATCTGTAAAATGAAACTGTTACAACCTGTTTTCCCAGTTTACTGAACAGTGGGAATGTAGTAAGGCACATAAGCACAACTATTTTATTTTTTCTCCCATCAATACTCTCTACTCGATGACGTCTAATTTCCCTCTTCCCATCCTTAAACTGCATATTTGGCAAACTCCAAAACTTTGAGTCACTTTTGAGCACAAAGTTCAGTCTAGTTTAAAGTTCCAATCCCTACTTAATTTATTGCTTACTCCTCTCCCCCAGTGCAGAGAGGACCTCCTCACCCCTCCTTTGGGTCCATCTCTCCTCTGAGTGTTGGCCAAGATGGGGAAGGAAGGGACCAGTGTGTCTTCTGTACTACCATAGCCCTCTCTTACTGTCCTTGCTTCTCTGACCATTACAACATGGCCATCATTGCCTCTATGTGGAGCCCTCCAAATGCCACGAATGTGCCTCATCTTCCCTGCTGAGACTCTAACTGATACCCCCCAATCTCTCTGAGTGATTTTCCTAGAGCACCCCTCACCTGGCTTTTGGGTAGGAAAGCTCTTGTCCCTCTTTCTCTCCTTTCAATTAGGTTTAGAACTCACAACTTCAGAGATGTCTTCAGGTCCCCAAGCCCAATGCCCAGCTGGTAGAGTCAGCACAGAGGGCAGTAGAAGTTGCGGTAATAAGCTGAGAGGGTATCTGACCCCAATTGTTTTCAGGTTTCTTTAAAATGTAGGGCATTTTACCCCTATGTGTCCTCAGATTTATGTCCTGGAGCCAAATTCCAAATCAGCAGCCATATGAAAAGTCCCACATCATTGTGGGATTAAACTGTTAGACCAGCCTTTGTGACCAAAGCAATTGCAAAATGTGGGGGAGGAAATTAAGCCTGCTGCATGGGTCATCACACAGCCTGTGTTAGTGTGTGTGTGTGTGTGTGTGTGTGTGTGTGTGTGAATTTGGCGGGGGCGGGGGGCAGGCAGTATAGTCCCACTTGCACCAAATAGATACCTGGGAATAGAAGGGCCACAGGTGGTTGGCCAGCCTATAGGAGGCAGAGAGAGACCAGGAGGGGCTGCCAGGAGGTCAGACTAAAACCAGAATATAGAAGTAGACAGGCTTGGGAATGGCAGGAAAAGATGGTGAGTGGGGAGAAGATCCAGCTGCCAGCTGTATGGACCCCGTTTCCTTCCCTCCCTTCCCATTCTTCCTTCTTTCCCTCAGCTCCCCTCTCTCCCTCCTCCCATTTTCCTCCCCCTTTTTGTTTCCTGCTCTTGGGATTCCTGGGAGCAAAAGGAAGCAAATAGGGCACTTCAGAGCTTCAGACCCATTCCTTTATTTTTGAGACTGGCTCAGGGCCCTTCCCTGGCTGTGTTTAGTTCTACTGTGGGCCCCAGGTTCATGGACGCTGTCCTGCTGCCCCCTGGTGTCCAGAGCTGACTGCAGAGGCCAGAATGAGGGATGGAGTCCAGACCTTCACATGCGGAATGATGAGAAGAAAATGACTCTGCTGGCAAACAGGTTGATGTGGGGTGCAAGATGGGAGTAGGACTGAGAATTGAAACAGGAGACACAATTTGTAAAACGTACCCTGACTTGCAAAACAGGTACCAGTGCTTGACCAAGCTTTAATGTCTATCACAGGCTAAGTTCACACTTGTAAACACCCCTGTATTTAGGCCTACATATTCCAAGAGAAGACCACAGACAACCTGATCCAATAAAAAGGCTCTGCGAAGATTCCTGTGTTCTCAACTTAGGATCATAGACTGTTCCAGCAACTCCCTGCTTTGCAAATTCTGACCCATCACTGCCAAAGACCATCCTTTGACTAACTCCAGTCCATACAACCTATAAGCATTCTTCCCTAACTCTCCCTTTTGGAGACACCCCAGGGGTCCCCCATTGTGGAGTCTTTGCTGCAGCAAGTAATAAACTCAGCCTTGTTGGTTACAGGTGTATTCCCAGTGGTATGGGCTGACTGGCTTTGATAAGAGGTTGCTGCCTCTTCCTGAGTGAATGAGGGCAGGTGACATTTCAGCTCTCCATTCCGGCCTCCCTCCTCCCATGGCTCCCAGGGACTGCCCCATCTAAAGCCCCACAAACCCTGGCTGACCCACCATGGTGCACTCTGGCACCAGGATAACGCTCTGCATTGTGAGGTATTTTATTCCCTCAGAGGAGCACGCCATGTCCAGCTGCTGGCTCTGTAAATGAAAAACTAAAGGGCAGACATGGCTGCTCCATCCTCAGAGTTCTGCCCCTTCCAGGCCCAGTCTTCCCAGCTTGGAGTTTCAAAGGCACTCACTTTGCCCTCTCTAGTTTTTCCAGGACGAGGTTCCCTGATTACAGCCCGATGATGTCCTTTGGCCTTGAATGTCCTTTTGACTTCCTGCTTACCTTTAAGGAGGCCCCAGATGGGGTCCCCCACCTCAACTAGCAGCCAAGAAGACACCCAAGCCCTGGGTCTGAGGACATAGCTGAATGGTTGGGGAGAGAGACTAGAGTGACCCTCCCAAAGGGCCTGCAGATCTAGGGCTGGATTCCAGGCCCTGAGGGCCAGCCCCTCTCTCAAGGCTGGGAGCCCTCTGACAAGGTCTATCTCCCCTATTTCAAGAGTCCCCTCAGTACCCCTTAAATGCCCTGATATCAGTTTTACCTTCTCCTCCAAGAATGGAGGGATCACTCCTTCTTAGGCAACCCCTTTATCTGTGGGAGAGCCCCCCTCACAGGAGCCCTGTCTCCCCAGCTCAGCCTTAGGGGTACACAGCATCTCTGCCCTCAGCTCAGGGCAGGCATGGGAGAGTATGACCATGACCCCAAGTGGAACCTTCTCCAGGCTTGCCCCGCCCCAGCTCCTTCCCCTGCCCTACTCCAGTGCCTCCATCCCCACCAGAGGTCCTGCCCTCTGTATGTCCCTAGAGGTCCTGCCCTCTGTATGTCCCTCTGAGTCCTTGCCTCCTCACATGATAGCCTCCAAAATAGGACTCCATCCCTTGGGAGGGGTGACCAAGCTCATCTGGCTGGTCCTACCAACACCTCCTGTGATTGCGTCTGGGCAGAAGTTAGGATTCACCCACCACCGGCAAGATGCCTATAATTTTGATCTCCCCAACATATCAGTAGGTGAAATGCGTCTGACTCACAGTCATCTGGAAGGGGAGGTCCATCTGGACGCTTGGGGTGGAGTGGGAAACACAAAGGTGGGGGGGGAGTCTCAGCCAGCCCTGGGGCCCCACCCTTACCTCCTCACTCTACATCTGCACACCCCCTCCACAAAGCTTTTACTCCATCTGAACCCAAATGTCCCCACTCAAAGGCATAGAGACACATAATGCTTTGAGTCAGACAGACTTAAGCTTGAATCTCGGCTCTAATACTCATTAATCAGACGGCCTTGGGCGCTTCAGTTTCCTCATCATGACAAAAGCGATAAACATACTCACTTCATATTTTATTTGTACTCTCTGTCTCTTCCTGCCAGGATAAAAGCTCTCAGAAGACCAGGGTTTTTGTCTATTTTAGTCACAACTTTATTCCCAGTGCCAAGAACAGTGCCTGGCGCATAGCAGGTACACAAAAATTACTTGTTGAATAAAAACGTTAATTAGGTTCATAGTTAAGAATAAATGAAATAAACTGTGTAAACTGTTTTGCAGGATACCAGTGGGTATTCATTATATTTATTCCTTCCCTTTGAAAAGCAAGTCAAATAAATTATTTCATGTAAGTTTCACAATAGACCTTTGAGTCAAGAACCTTATTATTATTGATTCATTCATTTATTTATTCAAAAAAATATTCACTAAGAGCCTACCATGTGCCAGGTACTACTCTAAGTACTTGGAAATCATCAGTGAATAAAAAAAGAAGAAGAAGAAAAAAAAGGAAAAAAAGACTCCATTGTGGAGCTAACATTCTAGTGGGGTAAGAGAAACAAAAAGCAACAGACATAAAATGTAAAGTACGTGGTCTGTTAAAAGGCAACGAATGCTGTGGGGAGAACAGCACAGCAAGAAGAGGGACTGGAAGGGCAGGGAGTTTGCACTTTTCAATAGGATGGTCAGGTGAAAACTTAGGAGAGGCCAAAAGAGGGCATTTGAGCAGACTTGAAGGGCTCTCTGCGGGAAGAGACATCCAGACAGAGGGAACGGAAAACATAAAGATCTGGCTGCCAGTGTGAGGAGTCCCGTGGCTCGGGTTAGAGACAGGAGACACAGAGGTCACGGATCAAGGAAATCCGGTAGGATATTAAGTGAGGTGGAGATCCATGGCAGAGATGCAATCTGACTTACATTTTAAAAGATCAGTCTGACTTCTGGGTTGTGAATAAACCACAGTGAGACAAGAAGAACAGCAAGATCAGGGAGTAGAGTTAATGAAGGAATCCAGGAGAGAGATCATGAGGATTCGGCAGTTGAGGGAAAGCAGAGTTTGCCACCCCAAAATATGTTTTGGGGGATATGGTTATTAAGAAACAAAAGGCACAGAAAGAACCTTTGACCCTCCCTTTTTACCTACCTAAAGGAAATGAGGTAGGAAAACCTGCTTCAGGAAGGGACCGTTAGCATATTTATCTTAGCATATATTAATTAAATGGCAGACAGGGAGGATCCAAACAAGCATTAGACTCCCTTCTGTCACATTGTTTGGGTGGCCTAGCGAGAATCTGTTTACCACATGTTTGTTTGCTTCTTCTCATCTACCTATGAATTGCCTACTTTCCCTTTGAAATCCCAGACCTCTGCTTCACTCTCCTTCCTTATTCCAGAATGGCACATAAGCTCCAACTGCCCAATGTGTCTTCTGGTCTCATACTCTTATGGAAACCCTGTGTGTACATACATGACAAATTTTGTCATTGTCTCCTGTTATGTTAATTTGATTATTAGTCCAGCCAAAAGAACTTAGAAAGGTGGAAGGAAAATTGTTTTTCTGCCCCCGCAAGGTGGTAAGAAATGGATTGACACCAGATGTATTTTGAAGGAATAGCCAACAGGATTCCTTATAGGTTTTTCCTGTAAGTTCTGTCAGACAATAAAACAGATCCAGAGAAGGTCTAGTGAGATGCCACGCAGCTGATCAGTAGGTGGGGTAAAGGAGTAGAGGATGGAGGAGAGGTGGCAGGAAGGTCCCCAGTCTACTGCAGTGTCTGGGAGAGGAGAGGGCCGAGTGGGAGAAAAGGTTCTGCTGCAGCAGGTCACAAACCAGCCCCAGGGCAGCTGGGCATTGATTTGATCAATGGCTTTTTCCTCTTCCCCTGAATTCCCCTATGATGGCCTTTTAATTGGGTCCATTTGTTCCAAGACCATAGGCTGAACCGAGCAGACGCCAGAGTGTTGCCTATTATTAAATAGATTAGGAAATGGCCCTATGTCTTGGCCTGCCAGAAAAGTCAGAGCGGCTACACAGCGTCTCTGAGGAGCAACTGCAGGCCCTTGGTGCACTGCAGGATCCATGCCAGGCATCTTGCCTCTGACGGTGCTGCTTCTCTGTCTGCAGTGACCGCACCCCTGCCTTGCTCACCTAGTAAATGTCTCCTCCTCCTCCAAGGCTCAAAATCCTCTCCTTGGTGAGTGAACCTTGCTGATTACCATCCCTGCCTTCAGTCGGCTCATCTCCCTGGGCAGACAACTCATACATGTGCTAGAGAAAGACTCCTTGCTGGAGGGCCTGCCTCCAACAGAGAATGTGTTCCAATGTGGGGTTTTCAGGGAAGAGGGACATCCGAAGAGCATTTAAATCACAATGATCAGTCTGACTTCTGGGAGAAGGAGAGGAGAAAAGTAAGTGTTAAATTAATTCAATGGAAATGAAATAGAAATCTAAACTCTACTGGAGAAAAAGAAAACTTTCCTGGCAGTAACGAATCTAGACTATTAAAAAAAATGATTACTTCCACTTTAGACATAATCTACTGATATCCTTTATGAAAGATGAGGATTTAGTTCTCTTCCCTCATCCTCCCATTGTAATTTTTGGGTAAATCAATATTCAGTGCTTACATTTTTATGACTTACATTTTATGAAGGTATTGTTTGCAGTAACTCTATTATTACATTTTCTTTCTTACATAACTTTTTATTTTTCCTGGAATTAATAATTGCTTCACCGTATGTCTATATAAGGACATAGAAAAATAAATATATAGAAATCTTAAAAGTATTTATAATCATATCATGAGTGGTTACTGAGCACTTGAAAGGTGGCTCATCTAATAGGCAGAATGTGGAAATAGTTCAAGAAAACAAACTGGTAATGGCAGTAAGCTAACACAAACATTACTAATTTATCATTTTTAATCAAGACAGTGACAGATGCGAAGAATTGGTATTTGCCAAGTCACACCATAGATAAGGCTTGGCTGGCTATTCTTAAAATAGAAATTTATTTTTAGATAGTAGTCTGTACATGAACAGCGTGCATTCTCAATGCAAGTGATGTGAGAATTGAGGTGGAGGCTAAATATATTACTCATTTTATGTATAAAATACAGATATACATACAGTATCTAAACAGATATACAGCATATCTATAGTATTAAAATTTCATAAAAGGAGGCAATTAGGTAAAAAATGTCTAAAGGGCTCTTTGGGGACAGAGGGAGAACTAATGGGGAAAAAAATGTTGACAAATACTGTTCTATATTATAGTCTCAGTCCTGCATAGGAATCCACTAAAGTTCAAGCTCCAAAATGTTAAAATAAATAAATAAATAAATAGATAGATAGATAGATAGATAGATAGATAGATAGATAAATAAAAAAGAAATAAAGTTCAAGCTCCTTAAGCACACAGATTTTTTTTTTCTTTCACTGCTCTGTCCTCAGTGCCTAGAACCACACTTGACACATACTGGGTATCTATCAAATATATATTAACTAAATGAGTTCTTTTACTTTAGAGCAGAGACACCCAGGGTGATGATAACAGTACCCCGATATCCATTGCTCTATGATCAAAAAAGAATAATCTAACGTTTGGTCAAGTCCTTCTTAGGTCCAGTCCCTAGCCACATGTCCAGTTCCATCTACAACCAACACATCCCCTTAAGCGGCTTTAGTCTCTTCAGCCTGCCGTCTTTCAGGTTTTCTGTCCTCTCTCCTGCTGCAGGACCTTTATGTATAATGCTTTCTGCTCTAAATCGCCCTTCTTGCAGCCTAATCAACTCCAACTCATCCTTCATTAACATCCCCAACTGACTCAAAGTTTTTCATAACCCTCCATGTAATTCTGTTTTATAGCATTGAACACAGAGATGAGATAGCATGTCCATATATAATGAATCAATAATGCTTTCGTTATAAAAAAGAAATTACAATTATGTGATGTGACAAAGATGTTTGATGTACTATAGTAATATATAAATGTGTCAAACCAACAGTGTACACTTCAAACCTACTCAATGTTATATGTCAATTATATCTCAATAAAAGAATAATTGCTGAGAAAAAAAGAAATGTGGCTTGTCTAAATTGACTCATGTTGTAAGCGTAAAATACACATTCGATTTCAAAGACTTGGTACAGAAGAAAAGATTGCAAAATATCATTAATTTTTCATATTGGTTACATGTTGAAATGATAATATTTTGGATATAATGGGTTAAATAAATTATATTACTAAATTTTATTTATTTATGATTACTTTTTAAATGTGGTTACTTGACAGTTTTAAATTACACCTGTGCTTTAATCATATTTCCATTGAACAGGTCTAGGCAGTGATCATCAATGGCTGCTAGTGGATATAATAGTCTCCTAATACCCAACCCACTGACCAAAATTAATATCACGAGAAAGAACTAGAAATCGTGTCTTGCTGATGTGGTGCAAAAAAAACGTTGGAAAGATTTCTCTGGGGCTGAGAAACTAAAGAAAGAGACTGACATGCCAGAGTTACATCAAGAGTTTATTAAGGAAATTTATGGACAGAAGCAGCTACGCTGGTGGCAACAAGACAATAGAATTCTGCACCCAAAAGCAGATGGACTTTGTTATACATAGCTAAGTGGTGTCTGCTTAATACAAGTAGCTTGCAGCCACCCTGTATGTACTTGTTAAGAACTGTATAATCCAAAGCAGTGAACAACTTAAAGTGCCCACATACCTATGCAAAAATATTTCTTTCAGGTGATAGAGGCCCACCCCTCCAGGTCTGCTTGCTTCGTAAGTTGGTGTCATCATGTTAAGTGACAAGAATTATTTTGCCTAACGAAAGGAAGCACACACTACCACTTATGAATTCTTGCCAAAAATAAATAAATAAATAAACCTGAATCTGATCAAACCTCCAGATTTAACTACCAGTTTTTAGGAAATACAAGGCACAGAAGAACATGTTAAATAACAACACGGGGATACAATTTGCTAGGTCCAGAATTTGAGAATTTTTATAGGATAAATGATCTGGTTTCTTCATAAACAAATGGGGAAAAAATGGCAGAGGAGTAGACATAGGAACGAGAGGTGAAGCCGAGATCCCATCTCCCTTCATCACTACAAAGGTGTAAGGCCCCAACTCCCTAAGTGCTCAGAAGCCACTATCTCAAAGGGAAACAGGGAATAAATCTGAAACAGAGAAGAGACTGGATTATATTTTGTTTTCTTCCCTGTTATAAGCTGAATTGTGTTCCCTTCTCAAATTCATATTTTGAAGTCCTAATACCCAATACCTCAGAATGTAACCTTGTTTGGAGCAAGGTCTTTAAGAAGGTAATTGAGTTAAAATGGGGTTACTGGGGTGGGCCCTAATCTAATATTGCTGGTGTTCTTATAAGAGGACATTTAGACACAGACACGATATAAAGACACAAGAAGAAGACCACCATCTACAAGCCAAGGAAATAGGCCTGGAACAATCTATCTCTCATGGCCCTCAGAAGCAATCAATCCTGCTGTCGTCGTGATCTTGGACTTCTAGCCTCCGCAACTGTAAGAAAACAAATTTCTGTTGTTTAAACCCCCAGTCCATGGTACTTTGTTAGGACAGCCCCAGCAGACTGATATATCCGCCACGCAGAGGCACTTGTGAGAACCATCCAGTCCATTATAGCTGCGTGTACTTTGTACATCTCTCCCCACATGATAATGCCTCATTGAAATTCCTTCTCATGACTGAATTTACCCTTGCTGGTTTAACAAGTTGTCATCACGGTGGGGAACCTGGCCCTCATCACTCTAATTGGTCTAAATTCTCACCTTCACACTCCCATGCTCTATTTTCTTTTTAACCAGTGTTTCACAGATTTCTGTTTTCGGAAATATTGATGAACTTTGTATCAAAGAACATCGTCTCCTCTGTTGGTTGCATGACTCAGCTGATCTTCTATCTCTTTATTGCCATCTCTAAATTCTATGTGTTGCTATTAATGGCTTAGGATTGCTTTGTAAGCTTATGTAAGCCATCATTGTATAAGGCCACATCTTATCAGGTGTGTCATGTAAGACCTGTCCAAACCTGTAGAGAATTTTTATGAGTTTATCTGAGCCAAACTGATGACAATGCCAGGAAACAAAATCTCGAACACTCCTGAAGAATGACAGTTTTGCAGTTTCTTTTATGAATTTTAAATTAAGGAGGGAATGTGAGGAAGATTACACTACGGTGGGAGAAAGCAAAGTGGAGATTGGATTACAGGATAGTTAAGATTATGTGTTCTTTTGAGGGTGGTTATTCTTCTCAGGGGTTTTTCAAAAGTGTGTTAAATGCATGAAAAATGATGGGCAGGGCTTGTTTAAGGCAAAGATAAACCTTTTATTTAAGAAGTTATAGGCCTGGGGCATGACTACCCACCATGACCTGCCCAGTTAGGAATTTACGATCAGATCACCCTGTGAAGTTACTTTTGGTTAGATTTATTACAGTGCTTGTATGTTTGGTGTTGAAGTTATGTGTGCGTGTGCGTGTGTGTGTGTATGTGTGCGTGTGTGTGTGTGTGTACTTTTCCTGAACCATTGGAGGCTCAGTTGCTGACCCGATGTCCCATCATCCCCCAGAGAGATTGAGACTGATAGCTTGCTGGAGTCACTGTCCACACAGGGGACACGCTTAGGCCAACCTTCTGCAGAGGCAGTATCATCAGTCATTGCCTGTACGATAGCTTCTTGGTCCTCTAAACGCTTTATACCGGTACCTGTGTTGCTGAGGTGGTGATCTTCATTGTGTTGGGCATTCATCTCACAGTACACAGTCCAGTCTCAATTTCTTTCATTTCCATTTAATCTGCTTGAGGCAAATCAAAACCCTTCAGCACCTACAGTAGTATTGATATATCTTAAACATTCTTCTCTAGAGTCTATAAACTGGTAAGTTTTCTTTTCCAGTGTGGGGTCCATGCTGAACTCCCCATTTAAAGCCTGAGGAAAAAGAAAAATGCTGGTTAAAATCCAGGAAAGCAGTGATAATGTATAGGGATCCAAATTTTTATTTTATTGATGTTCTTTCATGGTGAGATTTTGTTCCTGTGTTCATCCTATAGATAGAGGAACATTCAGACTCTTTTCATCACTATCCTCATAGGTGATCTTGGCTCATCCATTGCTTTCTCATCTTCTGCACGCCATAGAGATGAGTTTGACTAGATTTTGTTGTTTATACAAGGGACCTGGACATTTTTTCATTGCTGTCTGGCACCCTTCCATCTCTTGCTCTTTTCCAAATCCTGGACATATACTATAAGTCCATAAGTTACCTGGAGAAAAGTTGAATACTGTAGCTTGCTTGCCTAAACTTAGAAGTGCCAAATACTTTGGAAGGATTTTCTTTCTTGTCAGTTCTGTTCCTGGAAGAGTCAGCAGGATTCCAATGAAATGCCTCTCTTCCAATCTGTGGTGGACCTAAACCCTTCTGATCTTGGTCTATTATCCTAGCCACCCTCGTTTTTGTTCTTCTGGACTTTCTTGTTCATTTCCAAGAGGGGCAACATCCAAAAGCTTCCACCAGCCATAATCTCAAGTGGTGGCAGGTGAAGGTATTTTGGTACACACCAAACTCCCTGGTGAGTAAGGACATCTGTGGCCCTCTCCAAAAGAGAGAGGGAAGTCAGTAAATCATATCTCTTTATTCTCAAACTTTGGAGGTAAAAATTAATCGGAAAGAACAACTCAGTTGTTTCTTATATGATGATTTTCAGTGAAGTACAGCATTACTCTGTTAGTACTTTTCTGATCTGCAAACTGCCAGAAGCCCAAAATGAGCACAGTATAAGCCAATGCAATAACACCTGAGATAATGAAAATAACACATGACAACACCACCATTTTTTGCATCATGAATGCCAAAAACAGCATTTGTATAAGACTCATATAAGAACTAGATATGTACTCAGGACCTCAGGTGGAAAGTAGTTGATAGTATAAAATTTGCACATAACACTATCCAAAATGGCACCAAATATTCTGACTGCAAGTTTTGTCATTTGTCGTATAAAAACCACTGCACATAAAATTAGATAAATAATTCATCTGCTTTTTAATTTTACAGTGAAGTTTAGTGGGAAAAATTAGCTGAATACTGACAATAATAAAATGTATTCCTAGAAAAGAGATGTGTGTCTACTTAAATTTTGTCTCACCAATGAGACCATAAGCATCTTCAGAGAAAAGATTATTTCCAACACTTCCTTTAATTCTACAATGCTTCTCCCCTTCTTAGTTTATGTGGCAGACATATAAAAAGTTCAAGAAATATTGGTTGAATTGTAAGTCTTGTTCTGTTATTTAAATAAAACACTTCAATAGTTAAAGAAATATTTTGATTATTTGCTCTGTGCTAGGCACAGTGCTAAGAATTTTATATACATCACCTAAGTTAATTTTTAAACACTTAAGGGGACAAAAATATTAACCCCCCTTTTTATGAGTGATTGGCCCTCTGACAGGTGAAAACGTGGGCTTTGTTCTGCATTTCTATTATTCCTGTTACCAGGCCACTAATGTCCAGTTCCAGTTCCTTTCCTTACAGATTGGGTAACCTCAAACAAAACCATTGACCTCTCTGAGCCTCAGTTTACTCCTCTGAAAAATGGGAGTAATCATCTGTTCTATATAAGGCTTAAGAAGACTAATGTTAATTTATGCAAAACTCCTTAGAAAATGGTAATTTCTTATGTAAATTTTTATTTATAAAAATTTTCGTTTATAAAAATTTCAATTTTTCTCAATACTGGGACACTATCAAGCCCCAGCATTTGGGACAATTTTATTAAATGTGACATCTTTATTTAAGAAAGTGATGTGGATGACGAAAAAATGGCATAGATGATAGAGGCTTTGTTCATCCCTCTTGTGACCAAATCAGAGTTGCGACAGAAACACAGAGCAAACAGCAAGCAAAGTCACCTGGGATCTAGAATAACAGAAGCACTACAACAAGGGAGAGAAATAAGAAATTACCCTGCAATAGTAGAAGGTAGAAGGGCGCAGAGACATAAAGATGCCTGGTCCCTAGCGGCTGAGTAGAACAGAGGCTACCACAGCAGCAGTCTCTTAAAGGGGCCGTGTCCACAACTGGACTTTCACGGTAATGGACCAGCTTGCTCTGAGCACCAGCGCTGGGTCGACTGCTGAAACAGGGGGCCACCATGGATTTACAGGGGGACACTGAGTGTCAGAGCAAGGGCGCAAGGTGAGACTCTCTCTCAAGCAGAAGTGATGGCAGTATACATTGTTCCTCTGTTGAGCCCTCCTGCCTCCCACTGTGCAAAAACTCAGCACCGCCATAGCTGAGACATCTTTAAACTGGATTACAGAGGTTGCTCTGCCCAGAGGATTCCCTCAAATTCCACCTCCTCCAACTCGTGGCCTCACCCAAGCCACATCCAGTTGTGTCCTCCTCGAATCCAGAGCTCCTTGCTGAGCCAACTCCAAGACTCACACTGGTGGCAGCTGACCACAGTTTCTGGTGTGGCCTCTTGAGGCAACTATAAGCACAGCATCTGTGGATTGCTTGCTGAATCTTAACAGGTAGCCCCAGAAGGACACAGGCTGGGGCTAAAATTGGCCTGCAGCTGAACCCCTCTCAGGACTGTGCCTCTGGACACCTACTACACAAAGCCATGCTAATAAGACCGGGAGACGTAGGAGCTTTGCTTAGTACATAGAAACAGAAAGGCAACCAAAATGGGAAGACAAAAAAGCAGAAACCACATGAGCGAACAGAATAGAGATCTAGGAATAATGGAGTCAAGTAATCTAACAGATACAGAGTTCAAAACACTGGTTATAAACATGCTCAATGAACTTAGGGGAAGAGTAGATGAAGTCAGTGAGAACTTTAACAAAGAGATTAAAAAAAACCCATAAAATTGGAAATGGAAATTATAAAAGGGAACCAGTTAGAAAGGAAGAACACATTATCTGAGATGAAGGGTATATTAGAGGGAATCAACAGCGTGGATGAAGAACAAGATTGAACCACCAATATAGAGGATAGGGAAGCCAAGAACACCCAATCAGAATGGCAAGAAAAAAGAAGCCAAGAATATAATAATAATTTAAGGAGTCTTTAGGACAAAATTGAGTATAAAAACATTCGTGTAATAGGGGTGCCTGAAAGAAGAGAGAGAGAACAAGAAGTTGAAGAGCTGTTTGAAGAAATAATGATGGAAAACTTCCCTAATCTGGTGAAAGAAATAGACATACAACCCCAGGAAGCTCAGAGAGTCCCGAGAAAGAGGAACCCAAAGAGGCCCACACCAAGACACATCAAAATTAAAATGCCAAAGATTAAATACAAAGAGAGAATCTTAAAAGCAGCA